GCCCCACAAGGCGCACCTGTGTTCAGTCGTGCACACCTTGGGCCCCCTCAAAACCAATCACATGCGCGCGCTCGCGTGCACACACACACACACACACACACACACACACATTTTACACTGCTTGCGTTCTCTTTCACAACCGCCCAAGTTCGCAAGCCCAGCTCCTGAGTGTGCTCAGCATTCGCTCCCTCCCCTATGTCTTTGCCTCCTGCCCCTCACAACCGCTCCTCCCCCCACACACACAACAACACACACGGACGCGCGCGTAGGACGGTGTCGCGCGCCTCAAGCGCGTCATCATGATTGGTGACCACCACCAGCTGCCGCCAGTGGTGCAGAACATGGCCTTCCAAAAGTACAGCAGGCTCGACCAGTCACTCTTCTCACGGTAAGGGCGCTATGCTGGTCATGTCTTTGTGAGTGTGTGTGTATGTGTGTGTGTGTGTGTGTGTGTGTGTGTCACCATTCACCGGGCGTGCCTCCCAGCTCCGGGAGCGTCGGCGCCGGCTGTCATCCGCGACATTTGCGCCGCCGCTCCGTCGCTGCCAGCGCGGTGGCGCCGCCGCTGGGTCCTCGTCCCCACCCTCTCTTCATTGCCAACCCTGTTCACGGCGACCACCCACCACCCCGGCCACGGCCCAGGTTTGTGCGGCTGGGCACGCCCTACGTGGAGCTTGACGCGCAGGGCCGCGCGCGCCCCTCCATCGCTGCGCTGTACAACTGGCGCTACCGAGCACTGGGGGACCTGCCCCGCGTCAGGGAGGTGCGCACCTCGCGCCTCCTTTTCGCTCAGCAGCCACCCGCCTGCACACCCACTCGCCTGCATCCGGCTCGCCCTCCCGCCCTGGCTGCTGCAGCGGGGCGGCGGTTGCGGCGGCGATTACGGCAGCCCTTTGTGCAGGCAGGAGCTGGGACACGCGCCGCGGCTTTCTCACTATCTTAATCTGCCGAGTGCCCTCTCCCCTTCAAAATCAACGTGCCCACTCCCGCCCCTCTCCCTTCCCCTATCCCCCTCCTAAACGCCGCAGTCCCCCGAGTTCCTGTCGTCCAACCCTGGGCTGGGCTACGAGTACCAGCTGGTGGACGTGCAGGACTTCATGGGGCGCGGGGAGAGCGAGCCGCGGCCCTACTACTACCAGAACCTGGGGTGAGGGGGAAGGGGGAGGGGGCAAAAGGAGCCAAGGGGGTGATTGGGGATTGCCTTTGTGGGTGCAAGGGAAGCAGTGTGCGCGAAAGACGCAGCCTGTCGCAGGATTTGCTCATCGATTCGAGCAGGCTGTTGCTCAAAACCTCTGGAGGACACATCGATGACACCTCATGACGTCACCGACGACTGCGATCTGATGCCCCGCCCGCCTCTGCCACCCCCAACTCCCGCCCCACACCCCCAGGGAGGCGGAGTACGTTGTGTCGCTGTACTGCTTCATGCGGCTGATGGGCTACCCCGCCGCTAAGATCTCCATCCTCACGACATACAACGGCCAGAAGGACCTCATTCGCGACGTCGTGGAGCGGCGCTGCGCGTACCACCCCCTTTTTGGGCGGCCGCACAAGGTGGGGGCTGCTGGGGTGGCCAAGGCTTTGCATGTGTGTGTATGTTTGTGGGGGGGTGGTTGTGCGGGTGGGTCTGAACAGGGGAGGCATGCCTGTGTGTGTGTGTGTGCGTGTGTGTGTGTGTGTGTGTGTGTGTGTGTGTGTGTGTGACTATGTTAGCTGCTGCCCGGTGATGAAACCGTTTTCCAACACACTCTGACTGGGGACTCTGGTCGGTACCCACTCCAGTGACGATCTCAACTTATCATCTTTCGGGGCTGAAGGGCACGCGGCCGTGCATTGTCTTGCTGCTGCACGTTGACATGTTTTCAACGCACTGAGTCTTACTTATTGCTTTTGCTGGCGTGCATCGTGCAACCTCGACACATTACGAACGCGCGAGTTTGGGTGTGCGACGTAGATTGTGCGTGTGTGTGTGTGTGTGTGTGTGTACGTGTACGTGTGCACGTGTGTGTGTGTGTTAGCTGCTGCCCGGTGATGAAACCGTTTTCCAACACACTCTGACTGGGGACTCTGGTCGGTACCCACTCCAGTGACGATCTCAACATATCATCTTTCGGGGCTGAAGGGCACGCGGCCGCGCATCGTCTTGCTGCTGCATGTTGCAGCTCATACTTATTCATACTCACCGCCTTTGCCGGTCTTCATGCGCTTCGTTCGAGAGCGGCTTTGTGTGTGTGTGTGTGTGTGTGTGTGTGTGTGCGCGCGCACGTGTGCGTGTGTTTTGAGGTGCATTTTCAGGCTGAGCCCCGAGGTGTCCCTCCGACAATCAGAGGGTCGTCGATCATCCTCCACTCTCATCTCTTTGCCCCATCCTGTCTTCCCC